TGATTGATTGATTGATTGATTATTTGATGGGGAGGGCAGGCTTTTGTCCGTACTGTCAGTCATTTCTGCAGTGAGAAATAGTTGGGCATTTTCTCCTTCCCCCAAAGAAATTAGGAGAACTCACTAACCCAAATTCACTGCCCACAAATTCACTGGAGAATGGTCTTTTTTTGCCCAGGTGAATTCTGCATCATGCTGACCAAGGTTTAAGTCATGAAACAAAATGGGGTAAAGCTACATTTTAGAAGTGGAGAAATATAAACCTGAGCGCCTACCAGGGATGAGGTGTATCCTTTGTTCTCCTGTCCCACCAAGGGAACAGGTATGATTAGGGTAGCCTGAAAGGGATCTTAGTAGGTAGGGATAAAGAAACCTGGGCGCATTTAGAAATGCTGTATTAAGCAGCTACTGTAAAGTCTACAGCCTCCTAGACAAACTGAGCTTTAAATACACACAGTGGTTTCTTTTTCCCATTCATAAATCTGATTGCAGACTCTCCTTTTCCAAAAACAGGTGATGGCACATCCCTGCTACCTTGCTTCCCAGCGCATTGCAGTCTTTCTGAGCATGCCGGATGAGGTCCGGACCAATGAACTTATTAAAGACATTTTTCAAAAAGGCAAAGAGTGCTTCATTCCATGGTACAAGCCCCACAGCAGCCACATGGACATGGTCAAGTTAGCGTCCTTTGAAGAAATTGCCTTGCTCCCTCTGACATCCTGGAATATCCATCAGCCAGCTGAAAATGACGTGCGGGAGGATGCACTGGCAATGGCAGGTGAGTTTGGGCGACATGGCATTGTGATACAGGTGGGATGTGGCTTACTCCTTGACATAAAAAGAACAAAAGCAGGCATCGATTTGCCAAAATATTTATATGCACTAAGTTCTAAGTATAGATGTATGTTTAGGAAGGAAGACAACTTTAATTGGGTTCATATATTATGCCAAGCCAAAAGGCTGTTGGTCTGTTTGCTGCTTAGCTTTAGATGCCCACAAGGTTATTCATTATAGCTTATTCAACAGAATGTGGCTAAAAATCCTGGCTCGGTGCAATGTGCAAATAGAGAACCATCTATTCTCTACATTCCCACAGTGGACCGGCAACTTCAAAATCTCTGCTCTTTGGTGCTTGTGTCAACCAGAAATGGACTTCACAGCCCTTCAAAGAGAAAGCACTGCAGAGTCAGGAATACAGCCATGATACCTTTGATAAGGAAATATTTCTTCCTTTGAAAGGGAGGATAAGATGATGCTCTATGAGGCCATTGATAGCCTTGCTGGATGTGGTGTTACAGCTGCAAGTTTAGATTAAGACAATGGTAAGACGAGGTCAGGCTGCCACTTGGCTAGCAGGTACTGACCTTTCTTGCAGCCCGATCTGCCTTGTTGTGATGAAGAGTGGGGTGAGTCTGGAATGCCATCCTTTGGAGGAAAAGCAGAGGAAGAACATCGATACCTAGAACTGAAGCCCTTCAGCCCTGTGCACGCTGCTGGGCTTGCTTCCTCTATGTTCATCAGCAGCTCAGAAGCAGCTTGCAAAGTGTTCTTTGTACCTGCATCAAATCTGTTTTGGATGTGGGAGGGTGGAAGCCCCTAAACAAGCAAGCAAATAAGTTTTAAAACATTGATTGCCTTTTGGAAGGGGGTGGAGGGACAAGAGTGCTACCCAAAACATCTCTCTCAGCTTCCCCCAACCTAGTATCTCCAAGCATTTTAGGACTAGCGCACTCAGGACTCTTCAGCCAGTGGGACCCCTGTGAATTCTAGGAACCGCAACACATCTGGAGAGTGAATTCTGGGAACTAAAACACATCTGAAGAGTGAATTCGAGGAACTGAAATATATCTAGAAAGTACCAAATTAAGGGAGGCTGGTTGACATAATTGCTTGTTGCCAATGGAGGAAGTGAAAACAAAGCATCAGGATGCAGGATCCACTGTATTTTGATAAAATGGAATGGCTTCAACTGATTGGGAGCACCAGTGTGATTTTCTTTCAATGCAATGTTGTGAAAGGGGCAGGGGGATTAAATGCAAAAATTAGTCTTTTAAAAACCACCTGTCCTCCCCAAGCCTATGAACTGGATGGCTCCCTCCTAAATGTGTTTGAAAATAGAGTGAACTGAATCAAGCTATTCACATCCAGATTGGTGTTTTCTGGAGGTTTTGGGACATACACGCTCTGAACATTCCCGGGTATTAAACATTGTGGCCATGTTGCTGAAAGATTTAAATAAGATATGCATCAAGTGACAAATAGATGTAGCACATATGTTAGAAGTAATGGGCTGTTACATATAACTTCCTGATGGGAGACAGAAAATGTCCCCAACAAGATTGCAAAGTGATTGTCTGGACTAACAGATTTCTCCCTTTCAGGAGGGTTGATTAAAACTTTGAGTGCAATGTATATCCAAGTGTAAGATTAATAAATTATTTTTTAAAAGACCACTCCGGTCATAAAAGACTGTGGCATGAAACAAAATTGAAAGTCAAGGCTCTGCTTTGGATGTAAATTGTATTTAAAAAATGTTTTTGAAGTTTGGAAGAAACCTGTGCTGAAAGATAATGAGTTGCAATTCTTCTATCAGTCCATCAGTGGAGCAAAGAGAGATCTGGATTTTAGAAGACATTAATATTCTAGCAGAGAAACTTTTGGGGGAGAAAAATGGAAAATCTTAGCTCAGTATCTGTTTTGGCTTGTTTAAATTGAACTAAGCTTAAATGAACCTCAATGAATCTGGTTTGTTTATTAACAACTGTTTAAATTAGGAATACACAATCTGTGCTTTTCTACCCCCATTTCTCCAAAAGTTGCTCAACTGTCATTGTTAACTTGGCAGCAGGGGAAAAATCTTTGAATTTGCAATTCAGTGCTGATCCCATTTAAAATGCCAAATTGAATTGCCTTTCTGAAAATCAGAATTAAAAATAAGCGATTTTCAAATTAAAAAAATCAGACTGAATGAAAAGTGTTTAGATCAGTTTGGTGATTTGGTTTGGAGCTTTGGAGATTCAAAT